TCTTTTGTACGTACACTACATCAATATGTGAAACATTTGTTACATTTGGAAGCAGTCACCCCTTCAAAAAGAAGACTCATCTGCATTTTCTGCTTCAAAATCTATAAAAAGTTATAATGTTTGAGAAAAACTGCCTTTTCATCAAATTTTCAAGCATTTGTTTGACCCGGATGAAGGTTCTAGGACTAGCTTAGCCTTTGCAATGAACACGGTGAAAAGCGCTGGACTCAACATTGCGTAGTCGCTGATCTTGATAAAGGAGCTCCATCTTGCTGAGGGGTAAGCACGCTTCTCAGACGCAAAACTCGATTTCTGACGCGCGAAAACTTTTGGTTGGAAGTTGACATCTTGTTTGCATAGCAACGTACTCATGCACAAGCCGTCAGGCTTTTTGCAAAGAGTATTTGCAGCATTGAAGTTAGAAGCTTTGCCTGCAGTTTGGTTGTGCGCACTGTATCTCACATGCTTCAAACTTTACTGCTTTGAACTCCTCATTAAGTCAAATCTTACAAAACTGTCAGGAATACCAGAGTTCTGAAGTTTTGAGCGGTTTTCTGCTCGATCGATTGATTAGAGTGGCTCATGATCAGGCAGACTGCACCACTCATTTTTGGAGAAAAGGCGTCCAAAGAGGAACCAAAATCCTTAGGGTTGCGATGACGTTCAAGCTATGCGCACGAGTCTATCGTTGTACAGGCGACGTGCTGAGCACATGACAGAGCTTTTCGAGCCTTAGAACTAATTTCTGCGGTTCGAAAACTCGCCTACCTGAAGGTGAGGTTGGAGATAACAGCGACTACGCAATGCTGACTTAAGCACTTTTTGCTGTATAATTGCGAAGGCTTGGCAAAGCCTAGAGCCTCCATCCAATTCAATGAAAAAAATCATTTTTTATTCAAATAATGTGATTTTTATGCATTTGAGAGCAAAAAACGCAATACAAATCTTTTTTTTTTGAAAAGCGACAGATTCCAACTGTAACACAAATGTTTCATATTTTGATGCTGTTTACGTACAAAAAATTTCAGGTTCAAAAGATGTTTAATAGTACTGACTGAAAATGAGAAGTGGCTTTATAGTTGTGACCAGCCTTGGGAACCCGTTTTTTCAATTTTTTCAATTTTTCTCCGGAAAATCAATGAAATTGGGAGCCGTTCTAGTCGATGATATGACGTTGGCTTACACAGAGAATAGTGGTTTTTAAACGAATTCGAACAAGGGAGAGCAAATTAAAGTGATTTTTAGGGTGGCTTTATAGCTATGGCCAGCACTGTACGGCTAAAGAATATATATATTTTTCGCAGAAGCGCTTGTAAGAGCGTGCGAACATCGATAATTTTCCCTCTTAGCTCTACAACTTTTTTCTCCAACTTCTTCAACCCAATCTCTGACACAAAGTTTATTTAAAAAGTAGGTCTAGGCTTCGGAAAGAAAACTGTTAAGGTGCAAAATGCGATATTTGCTTGTATGTTGCACGCAACAAAATTCATTGAAGCTCCAGTAGTTTGTACTTGCGTAGTTTGTGTTGTGGCTGTGAATGACACTTCAGCTTGCCGCCTGGCCTCCAAATCTGAACTTGCTAACTGTTATGCGCGGTGGTTAGGCCACTGGTATTATGAACATCCATGCAAATTTTACATTCAAAGCTCGCAAGAATTTCTACCAAAGTGACGCTTGTGACCTGCTTACAATGCCATCACAGTTTCTAAACAAAGCTAGCGTATTAGGTCGTTCCGAAAGTAATGTCGCTTTTTTCAAACGTACGCCACATTTCGTGGAACAAAGATGTTTAAGAGATTCTGGTAGCATTTGATGCAGCATTTCATTCTCTTTCTAATGGTTATATAATTACCGCACAAAATTGAATAATCTCTGGGAAAATTATCGGAGTCTGCGATCCATGCTTTTTGAGAAGGTCAAGTTTCACAATTTTTCCAAATTTTTACAACAACCCCGGAAGGAGTTCAAGTTATGTTTGGATAGAGCAAACCCTACGGGACATAGCACAACTTTTTTTCTACTTTTCAGAGCTCGTCATAATTCCTGTATAAATTTTTTGATGGAACCACCGGATTTTAGCAAGCTCGTCTCAGACACAAATTCATCAAACACCAAGAAATCGTCGGATTTTGAAACTTACAAAAATGGATTATGGTTTTACACTAATTTTACAAAGCAAATGAGCGTTCACCGCTTCAGATTAGCAACTTTTGAAAATTCCGGGTACAGCCGGAGGCGCCCTGGAAAACCTGAATTATGATGATTTTATCCCGGAAAACTTGATGAATCGGGAACAAAAAACCATCGTTAGAAAGGGGAGAAAAAGCTGCATCGAATGACACCCGAGTTGCTTGCCGGTTGTTGTTCTGTGAGGTTTTAGTTGGCCAAATATGGAATTTGGTGGCATTTTAAAACTGATTCCAGAAACTCTAAGAAGCAAGCTAAGGAAAAGAAAAAAATGACTCTGTGTCATATGGTTTGCTCTATGTACCTGCCACTTGTACTTCTTCGGAGAATAGGTACAAAAATTTTAAAAAATTGCCGAACTTGACCATGGCAAAAAGCATGAGTTGTAGATTTTGTTAATTTTTCGCAAGCTCAATGAAGATTATGCAATGAAATTACAACCATTAAAAAGAGAATGAAATGCTGCATCGAACGCTCCTAAGATCTTTTGAAAATCTTGATTCCATGAAATGTGGCGTTCATTTGAATAAAGCGACATTACTTTCGGAACGACCTAATATAAAACCTATAAGCTTTTGTAAACGAATCGTTTCAAAAGATTTCTCTCGTTGCGCCTTAAGCGAGTTATAAGTAGAAAGTGTTTCGCTGATGAACTTCAACTTGACTGCGTATGATTACTACACTCATTGTCAAAGTCATCCATCCCTGTTACCCTTCAGTGGTGGCTCCGTTGGCACAGTGCTTCTACCGCGAAAGCCCCATCAAGCATTGACTTGTAGGATTCTTGAGTACTAGCTTGCTTTTGCCACTTGAAAAAGAAGAGCAAGATGTGAATGCTGCTAACCTGCATGTGGTTTATTTTAAACTACCCTATTTTCCGGAGTATAAGCCGCATTTCTTTTCAACGCGCGCAGGCTGAAATGCGATGTCGTTCGCGATGCGCGCCGCACAAGCAGCAACTACTATCTGTTTCGCCTGGTAATCCAATACGGGCTTTCTGCTTTCGTTCGTTATTTAGTTTCTTCCCAAGTGTCTTTCTTTGTAGCAAAATTCTTTACCTTCTCATTTATTCTTCAAGAATACGCTGAACAATAAAGAACGATCAAATACCAGTAGTAACATGGAATCGAAAGGTGATAAGCTTGAAACCGGTAAATCAAAACAAAAGAAAGCACAACTTCAGCACCAGTAACATCATCGAAAAAAAGGAAAGCACAGTCAACCAGTAGTATCATTTAGGAAAAAAAACACAACGCATTAACACACAGACTTGTAAAAGAGTTGAAAAAAAGTACCTGAAGACATGACTATCCGTACTAGAACGCACCAAGTTTCCAATTTGTTATATAGCTCTTTCAAAGGCGCTTTCGCGCCATTGTTCGCTGCGGTGGGTGCGGCTTATATAAGGTGCGGCTTATACTCCGGAAAATAGGGTAAATGGGAGCAGGAGGTATACAAGTTGAAGTCTTGATCAATAACGAAGCATTTTGGTTTTGGTTTTCGCAACTGTGGCAGAGATGCTCTTTTCATAGTTTTAATTTTTATCCTCCTTTGCAGGTGCAGCTATAGGCCGTTTTGGCTGCACTTCATTTAGTGGAAAAGAAGATGTTAGCTGTGAGAAAAGTTTGTATAACCATCGAGAATGTTAGAACATTTTTTGGCAGAAAATCATACGCTCGCTTGTATCTTCTAGACTATTCCATCTCCTGACTTTGTAGGATTAAACAAGATTCAAGTCACCATTTTTCTTAAATGAAACTCATTTAAGGTTATGTGCCCTTGATATGCTTCAAAGAAGAACGAGAGTTTGCTGCATTTTTGTAGCCATTTGGATTTTGGTGCTCTATGGTGTAATCTTATTTCGTTTGGTGCATTATGTATTGAGACATGACGATCTCGAACAACTATCAAGAGCGGTAAGCCGTCACAGAGCCTTCTAAATGGTGAGAATAAGGCTCCTCATGCGCTCATCTAGACGTCACAATATTTCAAGTTAACAGAAAGTATTAATCTAGCTATCAACCATCACGAGTGTGTGGAGCTATCAACGGCGCAAAAGCGCTACGAATAAAAGTCGAAAACAAGACAATGCTACTGCGCAAGCAACGCTGTGATTGTCGGAGAAAATTGTACAGCTGATTTCGATTGCGCAGAGCTGCCATGAGCTTGGTTATTGTTCGTGGTGGCAACCGCACGAGAGGAGGTTATTTGTCGCAATCTCCCTTTCATTGATTTTTATTTCCCGCACCATTTTTTTCACTTATCCATCTAGTGTTGAAGAGTCATAGACCATCTCAGAAATTACACAAGCATTGGTAAGTTTAGATTGTTTCTGTAGTCTACGCACTATTTTTCCTGTGTATCAGTACCCAAATCCAAGTTAGCATGAAACCGATCAATTTGACTCAAAAAGATGGTAATTCATAACAGCAAAAAATTATCTGTAGCCGTAATCTCTTATTGCAACCTCCCCTCTATAGCTTGCAGTTTGACGTTTGTTATGAAAATCACTAAGATTATGGAAATCGATGAGGAACATCGTCTGTAGCACTCGCTTTCTTTGTTATATGGTACGCATGTGCAAATTTCGGTTTTGCTAGAAACATACGTCAGAACATGCAAATTAATATAGCAGGCACTAGCTTCTATGTACAGGATATCATCTGACAACATAGACGGTGCTGCGCATCAAATCAGTGCTCAAATCAAAATTTGCTTGTAAAGCGAGAAACTCGTCTAGGTTGAGATAAAGAAGGTGGCGCAGAAGTGGCAACGCCCTGGCCAATAATTCAGGACTTCAAAATAGTTTAAATATGTGGTTTTGTGAACGTCAAATAGGTTAGGCTTGCTTAATAAAAAAGACGTTTGTTTTCATTATTTAAGAGAAGAGCTTTGCTGCCTTGGTTGCCGGATAACGATGGCGTCAGGAACTGGACCGTAGAGGAAGGTTACACAAAACTCTTCACCATAACATCGTGTAACAACTTAGAGTAATTCAGAACATGATTTCAAGTTTTTGCATTTCAATCAGACATTCTTTGCAACTGAGGTGCTTACAACATATCCTATCAAGCTCGAGGAACGGATGAAATGCAATGCTGATGCGAAAGGTAAGCTAGAAGCAGCCCCAAATACATCAAGTTGAAAGAAGCAGCAGACGCGTTTGCATTCAGCACCACCAAAGCTAATTCTTTCTTGGAACGCTGGATTTTCGCAGGAAAATCTGGGCGGATGTCCTGATTGGAACTGCAAATTAATAGATGACGAAGACAGGATCGGGGAAGCCGATGCGGTGTGGTTTTAGGTTTCGCAAGCGGTAACTTCATTTCTCCCCCTTCCTCTATCCCCTTCCTGAAAAAATTTTGCCACTGTCCTACATTTCATCTATATTTGATGGTGGGCCGGAAAAATAGTGATGAGAAGGGGCCTTACTTCCCAGCAAATTGATTTACCGTCTTCGCTTTTTCGTCTGCGCAGGGCACGTATTTCTTATGGGTAAGGAAACCCAAAAAAATGTTTGCCGCTTCGTATCCTTTTCGAGAAGAACGACCTGCTTTAAATATGCTAGGATACGAAGACTTTTGCGACACTGCGTCCATTATGGTATCAAAACATGACTTCACTTCCAGGTCCTATTTTCGAACGAAATATCCGACAACGTACAACGCAAGCCCGACCAATATTTCATATACTACAGCCAGGTAGGTTCCACTTGCTCGACTACCATTCTCTGCCACTGCTACATAAACCAGGAATCTCCAGTACATAGCAGGGCCGCTATGCCTTATGATGACTTTTACAATATGACACTGGGATTTCGACATGATTCACCAACATCATCACCTTACGGTTACACAGTCAAATTATCCAAAAGGCATCGACTCAGCAAAGCAAGTGTTTGAACAAACTTTCTGACTTTTGACTTCGAATACCATCAGTGGTTGACTACGTGCTAAGGCAGCTTGTTGAGGTAGTCAACCTGACGCGGGTCGATAGGAAAAGCAAAGGAGCAGCTTGGTTTGTTTCAAACTGTATGGCAAAAAGTAAAAGGGAGCTGTACGTCGATCAACTAAAGGTAGGACTTGTTAAGATATCGTTTCTCAAAGAATTTTGCACAAAGCTTTGAGCTGCCACGTTTATAGGGTTAAAGCATTGTTGTTTATTGTCTGCGATAATCGCCCACCTTTATCATCTTTCACAAATCAACATATGGCTTCTCCTTTATTTGATCAAATTAGAATATCAGTCTGTTTTTCTCATTTTCTGTAGCATATCAGTATATCTTTTTTCCAAAAACCATCGTTTGAGTTCAAACAAGCAACGAAACTCTGCCATATAAAACTAACAACGGACTGCCATTTTCAGCACACTAACTTCATATCATATAATTGAGATCACAAGCCGATTATCTTGAAAATTTGAAATTTGGTCACTTTGAAAAAATAGATGGAGAATGTTGTGAAAAAGGGGTAAAAATCTTGGTGTTGAAGCCGTGGGAGAGCGAACAATAGTTTAGTCGTCAAGGGTTTTGAGTTTTTTCATCAATCGTTTATTATTTCAAACAAAGATTTGTTTGAGATGTTGGTGACATGATGGCGAAATGTTAGGCTGGTTATACTTGAACCTTTAGAACCACTCTCTTAATGGTATCACAAAATTGGTCGTGCACACGTAATTAGATGTTAGCTCCGAACACTATCTTAGGTAGGAAAACGCCTTCCAAGCACTTTCTATTATAGTGCTTAGAAGGCATTCTCATACAAACGTATACTTACAAAACAAAAGAAAAGCGAAACTTGGGAATTTGAATAGTCCAAACAGCTCCAGTTAACCAATTAGATTATCCTCAGCCAAAACAGAAATGTTTTGCATGAACTTCAGTTCTTACTCAGCACAATTCGCTTTCGTTAGCTTACAGAGAGCGGTTTATTTATTCCAGCAAGGAACTACTGCCACAATTTAACCCAAAAACTTACTTTTCAATCAAACTTGTTTCATTTTGCAGAAATATTTTCCTATCGATATCTATGGTGCTTGCGGTGAGTTGAAATGCCCACGAAGAGGAAACTGCATAAATGACTTGAATGAAGAGTGAGTTTAGGATAATCAGCAAAATCTTTCAATTCATGAGATTTCTTAGGTATCACTTCTACATCGCTTTTAAGAATTTAATTTGCAAGGACTATGTCACAGAGAAATTATGGAATCAGGGTTATCAATATGATATTGTGCCTATCGTGCTTAAGGTGAAAACTCAGACTGTTGCAGTAAACATTTTCTACATCATTGCTATTCAGAGAACCCTTGTAGAGAAACTCGCACCTCCAAACTCATTTATCGCTGCTGACGATTTCAATACTACAAAAGATCTTGCTGATTACCTGCATTATCTCATGAGGAACAAATCTGCCTATGCGTGAGCTTTACGTAGTTTTCATAAAACCTTGAGCGAAGCTCGAAATGTATTTATAACATAGATAGTCGTGATATAGTTTCACATAAAAATATTTGATAACTAGCTGGCTTAGACGGCTCCGCCGTATGTTCCGAATAGAAAATTCCATTTCTTAACCGATCCGGACCAAACTTGGCACACATACACTTCGGGCCCCGGCGGGTGTCACAGTCCACTTTTCGCTATCGATCGATGTCGATTTCATCGATTTTTTGCAAAATTTGGGCTAGGGGGCCGAAATTTCGCAGAAGGGTGTAATCGAGCATGCTGATCACCCACGTGGGGGTGATAAGCATGCTCTCCCAGCCCCATAGCTCAAATTCTACAAAAAATCGATAAAATCGATATCGATCGATGGCGAAAAGTAGCCTATGACACCCGCCGGGGCCCGAAGTGTATGTGTGCCAAGTTTGGTCCCGATCGGTTCAGAAATGGAATTTTCTATTCGGAACATACGTACACACAGACATACAGACATACATACAGACATACAGACATACAGACATACAGACGAACAGACATTTGGCTTTATATATAAGATGTGGAACCACGAAGGCATTTCTCTCATAAAAAATTTAGGGAATATTTCAACTGGCGACGAGATTACAAAGTAGTATTTCTTGATGGTGGTACCCATGACTCGCTAGAAAGGCCATGGGGATTCTGCCAAGTGCGTCGATAGAATGCTAACATCAACTTCCTAACAATAAAAATTTAGATCTGTCGACTGTTATGGGAGAAAACTCAGCCACAATTTTCAATACCACGTAAGGATCAAACTTATGTCTTTTGATAGGCACAAGAATGATGTTATTTTTCGGATTACCAGAGCTAAAACTGATATTCTTCGGAACTAGCAGTGTTACAGAGTGTGACAAAGTGCCGTTTTTCGTCAATTTTTACGGTAAATTTCCAGTTATGGAAAGACGCAGCTAGCATACAATGTGAATGCTTGTGTGTATCTGTAAAAACGATTGATAGCTACTTAAGATATTTTGCGGCTGTGATCCATTATTAGCTGTACTGAAATGTTTTTCTATATCTGTTCATACACTTCATACTCATGAAACTCGAATCAGCAGACTTTCGATTGTCATCTTGCATTGCTTGCTTTGCTTTATCAATTAGTGCCCAACTCATTTTTTGGTGTTCAGTTTCATGGGTAACGCCATCATTTCCGTAGCAGCTTAGAATTTGCAAGCAAGAAAACCTCTTTCACTACGTGCATAATTGTCTGCGGTTCAAAATCCTAGACTTCTCAGAGAAACTTATGTTAATTACAGCATTTATAACGGTCGTGATAAAAAGGTGATAAGTTACGTTACAGATTTCAAAGAGTACTGGGATTGGACTTGCGAAAAAGACGGGGAACTGGTTGAAAAACTTTTAAAGAACGAGGGGAAGACTTGAGAGGTGAGAATGAGAAGCGAACATTCTTTATGCTTCAATTTACTGTCTATTACATCAGAAGTATCCTAGCTTTGGAAAAACCGTTGGACATCTATCTTAGTTGTTCCATGCGTGGATAAGATATCCATTTACTAGCATATGCTTTATCCAAACCTATCAAAGCTTTAAAATACAATGCTTTGAAGGAAAAAAAGTTGAATGTGCATTTTATAGCGAGACTAGCTGGCTTAGCGGCTCCGCCATATGTTCCGAATAGAAAATTCCATTTCTTAACCGATCCGGACCAAACTTGGCACACATACCCTTCGGGCCCCGGCGGGTGTCACAGTCCACTTTTCGTTATCGATCGATGTCGACTTTTTCGATTTTTTGCAAAATTTGAGCTACGGGGCTGGAATTTGGCAGGGGGTGTAATCGAGCATGCTGATCCCCCCCACGGGAGCATGCTCGATTACCCCCCTGTGCCAAATCCCAGCCCCGTAGCTCAAACTTTGCAAAAAAATCGATAAAATCGATAAAAGTAATGCACGATTCTAAAAACTAATATTGTATTCGTAATCAGCATGCTCGATTACCCCCCTGTGCAAACTCCCAGCCCCGTAGCTCAAACTTTGCAAAAAAATCGATAAAATCGATAAAAGTAATGCACGATTCTAAAAACTAATATTGTATTCGGAATCCCCATGCTCACTTACCCCCCTGTGCCAACTCCCAGCCTCGTAGCTCAAATTTTGCAAAAAATCGATAAAATCGATATCGATCGATACGAAAAGTAGCCTATGACACCCGCCGGGGCCCGAAGTGTATGTGTGACAAGTTTGGTCCGGATCGGTTCAGAAATGGAATTTTCTATTCGATACATACGTACAGACAGACAGACAGACATACAGACAGACAGACATACATACAAACAGACATTCAGCTTTATATATAAGATTCAAAATTCAAACAGTCATAACCGTCATTATATCAACTTTTTTCACTCCAAAAAGAAGATTTCTGTGAAAATTTCCCGGCTTGAGTTTCAGAAGTTCACAATAGCTGTTGGACTTCAAATAAAATGAGAAACTGTGTCTAATTCTTGCGTAGAAAGTCGCGCACGAGAACGCTGTTATCTCGTTGACAAGTGATTTCTAATGCTTGCGACGTTGTCAATACTCCTAGTCGTGTCGTGACGATCGAATAATATATAATGATGCAGGGTTTCGTTGAGATCTCGCGGAGACCTACGACCAGAGCCAAATGCGCTCGTCGGCTCTGGTCTTTTCAAAAACTGGGCTTTTGTTCATAGCTTTTTATGGGAGTTACTCAGCAACCATTTCTCTCAAACTTGGGGGCGGGGGCATGTTGCTTTGTAATCAGAACAAAGTTAACAATCTCCCAAGAAAAACAAACTAGAGAAAGGCGTAAATGTTCAACGGACGCATAAAAAACTAGATTGGCTTTGACGGGCATTTAGTAACTTACAAGGAAAGGAAGGTTGATCGAAGTGGCCTTTTGAAATGAGTTGTATGATTCCTTGTAGGGCTTGGAACTGAGTAAAAATCTGAATGCAAGAGTAGGCTAAAATTAGTCGTAACGTTTTTTATAGAGCTATGCTAGTCGGATCACTCGGTGCAACAAATATTCTTGATTCAAATGTACCAATTCACTGCTGCCTCATTTAAACATTGGAAAGTTACAATTGATTTCACCCTATTTTTGCATCCAGGTTTTTATTCACAAAAACCTTCATAACTTCTCGCCCAGAAGTCCGCAGCAGATAGCAAAGGTAGATTTGGGATTAGCGTTCCAAGTTCTAAGGCAGTATACACCTCATTTCAAAAGGTCACTTCGACCAACCTTTCTTCCCTTGTTAGTAGAAACGCAAGCGTTGCGTTTTCATAGCTAATTATCTTCTTGTTTATCGTCTTCTTGATAATCATCACCTCCAAAACTTGGTTTTTTTGGACAATCACTAAAAACAATTTAGCTTTTCCTCTTCCCTCCCCCCCCCCCCCCATTACCCGTATTATGGATCGCCTGGTTCTGGAGCGAAAACCTGCCAAATAAAAAAATTCAAACTCACTGCTTTGTTTTCATGCGGTTTTCGAGAGTTTCTTTTGCTTTTGCTATTTGTTTTGCATCTTTTTTCATCCCTAATTTTCTATAAACAACCTTCATTTTTTATAAATGACAAATATTCAACAACCTTCACTTTTGAGGTCCTACCCCTAAACTGTCGAAAATATGACCGACGGTTACCGACGCAAATCGAAGAACGTGGAAGTTATCGTATTAATTCTTCTCAGGTGTTAATTTTCGCTGTGATTTGTTTTGCTGGTTTGGTTTGGCACCATAAAGTTTTGGAGTTTTGAGGAAGAAATATCAATAATCACAACCTAGAGACATGAAAAATCCCAATCTCATAAAATGAATCATGTAAGAGCTTGCTTTAATGAATAAAACGTGTGGATTTCAAATCCGACTTAGATTCTGCATTACTCACACCTTAGCAAACGGATTTAGACTGAATCTTCGTAAAACTTCGTCTGTGAAAGAACTGTATTATACATATTACGAAGGATTATACACGGAAGTGATGTGGAGGGGAATTGCCAGTACCATAAGCTAAGATATAAAAATATGCCGTCTTCTAAGTAGAACTGTGCAAGTTCCAATTAGCTTTCGGTGCGATAGCGAAAAAGGAAGCAGCTATGACTTGATAATGTGCTTTAGTCATAGAAAGCATTACTCGGGCCCGAGTACATAACTCAAGCAGTACCAGCTGTCTGTTTGCGATCAAGGGTGCCCAAGATTACTATAAAGTAACCAAGTTGAGTCGAAATGGCAGGATTACTATAAAGTAACCATGTTGAGTCGAAATGGCCTTTTCAAATGGGATGTACATCATATTGAAGAGTAAAATGCTAATTCTAAATTCGCCTTTTCATCTGCGGAACGACTGTGAACGGAGGAATTCTGAGCGTCTTTTGAAACAAAAAAGAAAATTGCATCTAGAATAAAACGAGTTGCTAAAGCTCCCTAGCCCTTGATTGAAGCAACCTAATGTGATAACTTATTTGCGAGTATTTATTGAATAAAGTGCTCTGATGATCATCATTGCTCCATTGAAGCACCAGAAAAGGTGGAGGATTTTTTTTTATTTGCACGTGTAATTTTTTGCTTTTATAAAAGTTCATGACTTCCGGTTCATAAACATTCTGCAGATAAGGAAGTCAGATTTGGAATCAGTGTTTCATGCTCTCCAATACTTCATACATTTCATCTCAAAAGGTCACTTCGGCTGAACATCGTATTCTTGTAAGGCTTTGGAAATTTTTATAGGGAAGAATTAATGAAATTACAAAAGGTTTCATCTCAAGTTGGGAGGAGGTACAGTCAGGCAAAAATAGGAGTATCATTTAAGATTTTTTTTCACAAAAAATAATGTTTTGATGCATGGAGCGATTGAAAAAAAACTGGAGTAGTAGCGGGTAGTTCCGACAAAAAAAGTACGCACTTTTTCTTATTATTCAGGAAGACATTAGACCCTAGATGGCTGGTCCTTGCCGC